CGAAATGGCGGGGATAACTCACCGATACGTCCTTTTAATTCGCCTGTCGATACGCTGTTATCCGCATGGCTCTCTATCTACTTCTCTCTCTCTCTCTCTCTCTCTCTCTCGCTCTTTCTGTTTTTTCCTCGTTACTCGTCCGCGATTCGCACCTGGCTTGTGCCAAAATCCTATAACGCCCGATAAATACCGATCACTCGCGCGGGGAAAGTAGATTATCGAGATTCTTCTAACGGCCGCATTTACGGGGAAACGTATATACGAGAGAGGAGGTCCGTTACCGATCTCGATGATTGTCGGATGTGTGAACTAGGTAAAAGTGAGAGACACGTATTTTTTTCGTCGCTGCTTTTTCATGCGTTTGAAGGATTGAAATAATCCCTTGGAAGCAATTCGATGAAACTGCCTGTGAGTTTACATCATTAACGGATATCTTCGAGAGCGTGAGATAAGCGTATGAGAAAATAGAAAAATTTAGAATTTTTTTTTTTAGAAAAATAATTTTATATTATATTTCTATATTATATTGATATTTATTATGTTTCACAATTATGCATTTAAATCTAAATTGAAAATACAATGCCGTGAGTTGCACGCTGAAAAATGATATGTAAAAAAAATCAAACACATACTTGTAATCATAAAAAGCAAACAAATATCATCAAGCTTTTATTCGAAACATTCTTTTCATACACCTTTTTCACTCTTTCGCCCTCACGATTTTGAAGGCATTCATCAACAATTAAGATCACTGAATTTCCTTCCAGGAAAATTCCAACTCCTCTCTCTCTCTCTCTCTCTCTCTCTCTCACAATCTCTAAACATGTAAGAAAATATCTCCAAAAAATATGAGTGTCTTATTTTTTGCTGCTTTGTAACATATTAAAGGCCCATGAATAAAACCGGTGAGAGTTGTTAGATTCAACGTTGCGCCTCGATAATTCAACCGATGTTGAAAAGTGACGATTCGAAACGCGGCAAAGACAGGGAGCGAGGAACTACGTGAGGACATTGTGCGGAAATATCGTTAATAAACATCCCGCTGACGAGGTAACGTCAGCTGTTGCGAGTTTTTTAATCCGCGGACCCTTTGAACGGGCCAGAGTTGAGCATATTAATATCTGAAATGACCGGAGCGCATTGTGCGCGTCGCGTTTCCCTCTGCAATATAATCCTCTAAAATCGCGAAAGGAAGCGTTAGAGCGCGCGCTGCGCGAAAGAGAATTTTCATATAATCCCAAGTCCCGGGGATGCATATGTATAATGCGCGAAATACTCCGTATATCATCACATTACGTAAATGAATACGCGCGGATGCGCATTATCGTTATGTATGCGCCGTCTATCGACGGTTTCGCCGCACGTACGTGAAAAATGGAGAAAATGTTTCGGATAAAGAGGCCACTCTCTCGCGTCACGACGGTGAACGACGGAAGTAAGGGCTGTTCGTTGTCTCCGTTACGTGATTACGCGTTGAAGCGGGAATTCCGATCGACTCGCTCGCGGCTCCCGAGTCCTCGCACAGAATCGAAGGAAAGACTTTTACCTCGGTGAACCTCAGAACGCAACGCATCCCGGCTATCCAACAGGAGAATTTTGCTGCTGTGCGCATTAGCAGAAAATACATTCTTCTATTCGCGGGCAGGGATACGCGGCTCGTTCGAGGAAAATGCGTGCTGTCACGTGCGCTGCCATGAGACAGCGAAACAGTGACACAGTCAGTCATGTGTGAATGTGTATTTTTGTAAATACGTACTTGGCGTTTTTAAGGCTGTGTTGTTCAGAGACAACGTGTAAAACCGTGATGATCTTACTTTAGTTCTGGCTTAATTAGTCCTTCCAATTTATTCATGAATCATGATGTGTAGGAACCAAGGCTATGTATTCAGAGACATTTTTTCCAAATGGTTTTCCCAAATTCGGTATCCGGACTGAATGGAGGAAATGGAACCCTTTGGTATTTATAGTAGGATCTTATATTTAATTGTCTTAAATTTATCTTCAGATATTTCGTAGCCGATGCAATCATCAGGGAATTGTCAAAGCGCCACTTTTGAAGTTCGTTTTTACATTTTGAGACTTCTGTTTTTTTAATTTGTGACAGTAAAATTATTCTCAATGAGTACGTCAAAGAAAATAAAGCAAAGTAGGAAGGCTAATTGGACCACAGAGGAGAGAAAAATTTCCTGGCGGATTTGATATTAAAAAGAAAGGACATTAATAAAAAATCTAGTACTCCATTTTTTCCGACAAACAGATACCGAAATATCGTAAGTTAAATATTGAAAAAGTTGCCAATTTTACCTTAAATATCTAAAAAAATTTTAGGCAAATAAAATTTTTCGCACAAAGGTTGTCCAAATTAATTGGTAGAAAAAGATGATATAATAAAAAAATGGGGGTTTCCGTTTAGAACATTCAAGGTGATCTCTTTGTAATCTTGATGACATTGTTCAAGGTCATACAGTGCCATGTGATTCGTCACTTAAAAACTCCTACCACTTTTGTATTTAACACATACACATATTTCTTCCTATCTTGCATATTTTCAAAGTTATTCAGGAGGTTCAACCTTTTTCACGCCGCTTGTAGCAGTTAAAAGGTTAAAACCAATTTTAAACTACCCTACAAGCTACCCTTTAAACTACAGGTAGTTTAAATTTGAGCCAATTTTAATACAAGATTAAATTACAAAAAAGTGCCTCTGAATGCAAATGTCTCTTTTTATGCTATTGTCAGACTGCGATTAAATCAAGCTCGTTTTGTCTCGGAATAGCACTCTAAATGTTAAGAGCTTGCAAAAGTTCGTCGGGTCGTCGGTGATTTCATTGCCCCGAAAGACGGCCCGTTTCACGGAAGAGTAGCGGGAAATCATGGCGGGTGCTTTAATCGAACGCGATATGCGCATTGTTCTTCTGTTAGCGACGAAAGAAACGCGAGAGAGAATCCAACGAACACGCACCGCCCACCGACCGCGTGGTTAGATTCGCGACGGCCTCGAAAGCTCGCGCTTACTTCGAGGCACTTCTTTTCAGAAGAAACCCGACAGCCATTTTCTGTCTCATTTATCCATTACCCAGCCCCGTAGGTTTCCCGCTTACCAAGGCGATCTCGTCATCCGTGCCACGATTATAATGTCGCCACTTTGTCCGGGGGCAAGTTATTTTTTAACGCATGAAATATAATCCGAGCGTCGTTTCGCCGAAGCTGAGAGTTCAATTCAGCGTAAACGTACGCGCGCGCAGCTCGCACGACGTTGACGTTGCTAAATATGCGCGACGAGAGCGCGGGGTCAAATAATCGCGGCGAAATCTTCGAAAAGGGATCCCCGATTTCATCGCGACGAACGCGAGAGTAATCGCGATCGTTTCCTCCGCGCGGATGAAGTTGCGGCCGCGGCCGCGGCTTTGTCGGGTGGCCAGGCGTGGGAAATGCGCTTCAAAGCGCGAAACGAGTCTCTCTCTCTCTCTCTCTCTCTCTCTCTCTCATTGAATATTACGAATTTCATAAACGCGCGCGACGTATGTCCACCCGCGCGCACACCGTGCGTTTTGCAGCGGGCAGCTGCTGTCTTGCGCACGTAGGCGCGCGCGTACGTTACAGCGAGAGAGAGAGAGAGGGGGAGAGAGAGAGAGAGAGAGAGAGAGAGAGAGAGAGAGAGAGAGAAAAGCGGCCGCAGCGACCGTAAATCTGTAATTTTAGCACGAACGACTGACGCGTAACCAATGCACACGTGAGATCATGCCGGGCGACTGTATTAGCATAAACCGCGCGAGCGAATAGTAAATCAACTACAAACGCGATTACGCGGCCGTGTGGGATCGCCATGAAGGATAATTCGCCTAGCTAAAGCTGCGCGATTTGACGGAGTTGCGACGGAGGGAGACAGCAGCGGCGGGAGTTTCTTTTGCCTTTCTTTTTCTGCGTAATATATTAGATTGGTGCGAAAATAATTGCGGTTTTCATCATCTCAAGTTTGGCGCCGATTTTTCTAGTCACCGTTATCTTTCGTTGCAGTCGTGCGATACATCGATGCAGACAATGAAATTGGCACTACTGATCTCAGCTTATGTTTGTTGTTTTCTCATTTCTCAGTACTGTTGGATAAATAACCTCTTAAATTAGGAAAAAAGCGAATTCGCGCGATTTTGTGGTATGAGTTTAAATCGGGACGTAAAGCAACAGAAACTGCTCGAAATATCAAATTTGTTTCTGGCGAAGAGTCAATTAGTGAACGTACAGCTCAACACTGGTTCCAAAAATTTCGTGATGAAAACGAAAGCCTTGAAGACGCGAGGAGAGTCGTGGACGTCCTTCAACTGTGTAGCGTACAATAATGATTTAAGAACCACTAGTGAAGCGTAAAACTCACGTAAAACAATTCGAGAGGTTGTTTCCTGTTGGGAGGAATGTGGCCTGCCACTGGTCTTTATTTTGATTAATAAATATAATTTTTAAGTGATATGTGCGTCTTTATACCCGATACGTAAACACCGCAATTATTTGGGCACCAACCTGATACATATTTGTGTCTCCTTGTCGCACAATCGGAAAATTACTTCTAGGTGTGTCCAGATATCAATATGTGGGAAAATGTGTGTGTGTGAACAATACGGAAATGTGAGATACGCAAATATATATGGAAAATGACAAATATATATGTACACACGAGAGAGTGAAGATAAGGAAATGCGAGCGAAAACGGTTTGAAGACAATTTAAGTTGAAGTTGCGGTGCTAAGAGCGTAAATTAAACGCGAAGAATATTTCACGCTTAACACACAGCAACGCGATGTAGAAGCAACACGATTGCGCGACGCGCAGTTACGTGGAACGGTACGTGGAACGGGAAGAAAAAAACGCAGTTACACGAAGAGAGGAGAGAGAGAGAGAGAGAGAGAGAGAGAGAGAGAGAGAGAGAGAGAGGAGGAGAGCGAATGAAAATTTCGGGCCCGACGCACCGATCGTGTTTCACGAGCACGCGATATCTTTTATTTACAGGTGACGAATTTCAGTATCGAACATCTGGCCGCACGTCCTGAGGGACACATAGATCAGAAGTAAGGATGGCCTTTCATTGGGATAAGCTCTCCCCAGCTGAATTCCAACAACTCCAAGACTTCGCAGCTTGTAAGTAACAAAAAGCAGGAAAGAGCCGGGAAAACACAGAGCCGCGGAGCGTCTAAAATAGCGCCGATCTTATAAGTCGCGACGGAGAAAGATGGAAGGGGAGGTGGGAGGGGAGTGTGAGGGGAGGGGGAGAAAGAGAGAATGCGAGCTCGGTGGTGGAGAATCGCTACTGAATTTTTTACAGGCTATAAATCCTAAAGCACTTGTGTTACTAATAAAGCGACGATACGCAATAAACGTATATACATTCGCAACGAGATATGTACAAACCTCCGTCGACTAATCCATCTCCGGGCGGAATACCAAACTAGCATAGCGAAGCTTGATTCTCTCGCGCGTCGACCGTCATTATTAATTCTCGCGAACGCCTCGCGAAGAAAATCCAGCCGCGGGACGGGACGGGCGGAGAGGAGAGCGAGAAACCAGAGGGGAGAGGGGTCTTCGTCTGCGGAAAAGCGACCGGTCGCTGCATAATATTCCCGTTTCGGGAAATTCGCACAGCCGGCGCGCGGCATTTTCCGCGAACGCGCAATACGCGCAGAGAATACCGTCGCAATTTGCTCCTCTTCTCGCCCTCAACCTCGCGCGATCACGAGGTCCGCGAGAGACACATTTCCGGCGGTTGATGAGCTGCGCGAGTTGGCTAAAGCCCGTGTCACACTACGGATTGAAGATCAAGGATTGCGGATTGAAGATTGATATCTGACCAATCGGAACGAAGCAAATCAAAACCGAAGTTCGTTGATCCGTCGAAATCTAATCTCCAATCCGCAATCCTTGATCTTCAATCCGTAGTGCGACACGGGCTTAAGCGAGCGCGAGCGAGTTCCGCGTTTCGCCGCGCGCGCACACGCGGATTTATCGGCGCGTCGGAAATGACAACGGGACTGCGCGAATTTTCCGCAATGCCTGTTGCGTTCTTTCGAAACTCCATCGCGCTGGAAACAGCGGACCGCGTCGCCCGGATTCGTGCGAATCCAATTACGGCGTACGATGTAACCACGGTATCGCTAGGGTTGCCAAATCCAAAAGTGAAAATTACCGGACATTTCTTCTTTGGACAGAAATCCAAACCGGACTAAACCGGACAGAAAGAATAATCATAACGTTACATTAAATACAAAATATGACACGAATTTATTTACAATATTAATTTCCAAGCAATTTTATAAACAAGACTCGATTGACTAAAATAATAAACTATTACTTTTTTAATATATGTATAGAATGATGGATCGGCAGATCATCTACTAGATGGCTTTTCGTGGCGCTCGATCGTTTGTAGGCGTTTGAAACGGAGAAACGTTGCTAAAATCTCGACTCTCATTCCATGGTTGGATATAACTTAAAAACCGGACATATGACGTCCGGTTTGACTTATTAACCGGACACTGAACGAGACTTCTGAAAACCTGACAGTCCGGGTCAAAACCGGGCAGTTGGCAACCTTAAAGCCCTAAACACAATGCCAGGCAACAGGCAATAAGAATAAAAATAGACCAATCACAATAGATTATTCTTGTAATAGTCGATTGTGATTGGTCTATTTTTATTCTTGTTGCCTGTTGCCTGCCATTGTGTTTAGGGCTTAAGTATCGCGCGTCGCGCCATCGCGCCAAGGCGTGAAACGCCGCCGGGAGAAAGTTCACGCGGAAGCTTTGTTTTCGCGCTCGCGGTGTCTGCATTATGCGAGTAACATTTACGTGATTCTTCCGAAATCGCGTTCGTGCCCGCTGATTGCACGAAGACTCGACTGACGATTGACTCGCCCCGGAATGACACGGTGAATAAACGCAATTCGAGTCGCGAGTACCTTTCTCGTTCGGACTTCCCGACGGCGCGGTCGTGCGATCGATTGTTACAATTGTGCAATTGATTATTATTATCAATCCGTCCAATGTCCAGTCATCCTCAGCATTCAGGACAAGTTTCTTTTTTCACAATATTTTGTCGCTTTTTCTTTCTCTTTGTTTATCTTTTCTCTTTCATTAATTTCGATGGGATTTGAGGAAAAGGAATGGCGAGACAAAGAAGCGCGTATATGGTCGCGTTCAAGAGATGAGATTTTTATCCCAAAAATAAGTAAACGCGATAAATTGCAACGTTCCGAGAATGTATACGTGAGACGCGATTCGCGTAGAATCAATCGCGAGTGAAAATTACGACAAGGGTTTAGACAAGGGTGAAAAAAACGAAAATGTTTTGTTTCGCGAACGATAATTCGAAAGAAACGCACGTCTTGTTTCGTAAGGACTAAGTTTTAATGTAAATAAACGCGCGTACCGAATTTATCGATAATTTCAAATGAAATATTATTGCTTCTGACACGCGTGAAAAATGTAGAAAATTGATCAACTCGACAGACAATATATATAAAATTTATCAAGTCAAGTGAGATAAATAATGGTGAATTTCACGTGCGATGCACGCAATTCTGATCAAATATTAATATTACACTACTCGAAGCAGGAGTTGTATTGATTGAATCGCAGCAAATAATTCCGTATCTTGATTTCAATATAATAACAGACTAAAGCATTTATATCTGTATCTTCTAATGATTCAGAGTGAATATAAAAGAGAGAATTATATATTATATCTTAAAAATTCTGATGTGTATAATACACGGTTATTGAAAGACACCATCTCCTGATTATTTCGAGCAACGCGTGCAAAAAAGTATAATTAAATCGCATTGATTTTCTGATCGAGATATCGCAAATACCCATCACCATAAAAATGTCTTTTCTTCTCTGACTCACCGATACACAGCAGACAGAGTCAGCCGCGTTCTGCTGCGGATCTGTAACAAAAAATATAGTTTCGTTAGTTACACCGTTAGGTTAAAAGTTAGATTAGGTTGAGTTCAATTCGCGGAAGCGCGCTCGCGCAGATACAAACGTTGACACTCTTTGCGATTGTAATTCAACGGCTTTTATTCCAATCGCTCGGTTTTCGATCGCAATAAATCAAGAAGAAATGTGCAAACGATCGGTGAACCTCACCTTCAAGCCGACTCTGCTCGGCCCGAACCGGATCCTCCGGCGCGCCATCGGCGTCCGTCGAAACTACGTCCCGATCACCGCAGCTGATCGCGTGGCTGCAAACTCCAGCAGATCTGTAACAAAAAACGAGTTTCCTCATTAGTATTACAGCGACAAATGCGCCCCGCACCAAGACTACGAAGACTCGAGACTATAAATTAGCTTCTTCGACTTAACCAAGTTAACCAATAAAAGTTTACCTTTAAAGACCATGAAACACTGCTATTGCTCAAGATGCTCTGGATCGTCACGCGCGCACACGCACACACACACGCACACACACATACACACACACACATACACACACACACACACACACACGCACGAATATTACACATTACACGCGCGCGTACGCTGTGATCGAACGTGAAAATTCGGATCCGTCCGCCGCCGTGGCGTAAACAATAATGGAAACGGTCGCGGCAATTGCGTACTTATGAACATGTTGTTTTCAAAGTCACGCGACCTTGTCCCGCCGGGACGCGTCTCGGAGAGCCCGTAACGTTGTATAAAACTTACCTTTTTAAACAAAAAGGTAAAAAGAGGCGGCAAGTACACGCGCAACACGTATTGTGTTATTTTTAGAAATTTCAAATTAATTTTTGTCAAGTTATATATGTAGCATAAAATGTTACAAGTAAAATTTAAAATTACAATAAAACTCTACAATACTACTTTACAAGAGAAATGATATAAACGGCAATGTTTACGTTTCAAGTACTGTGCATCGTACCGCACCTGAGCGTGTATCTTTGGTCAATGTAATTTATTATTTTCCCTATACAAGTAATAAGTTTGTACAAGTAAAACTTATATCTCTAACAATAAATTCTTCTATTGAATACTATAAACAAAACTCTACAAAACTGTTCTACTCTACAAAAATGATATAACAAAACAATAGCATCAACTGAAAAACTCTACTCAACATCAACTCTACAAATGAGAGCGATTTGCAATCTGAAGATAAATGTATCGAAAACTCCCAATGATACAAAGTCCGGTACTTCAAAAACAGTGTCTTCATTATTTACTAGAACACTGAGTTTTATGGTTATTTTACTTGTTATTATAATAAATTAGTTATTATAACAGTGCAATAAAATATATTTAATGCGAATTTCTTGGCTTCTCTCTCTCTCTCTCTCTCTCGCTCTCGCTCTCGCTCTCGCTCTCTCTTTTTCTCCTCTGCGGTCTAGCGTTTCTTACTTTCTTACTGAATCGAAATTTTCCGTGATTTGGAATTTATTTTTTAAAATATCGACATTTAGAGACAACGTACACAAAACACACAAGGACACTTTTCTTCCTATTTTTTAAGGCCGAATCGATTGGCAGTGAAAAAACCTCGATCGGTTTAGCCATTATTGAGATATGAATATCTCACCTAGTTTCAACTCGCAGTTTCGCGTAATATAGGCACGGTATGCCTCGCGTCGTTCGGGCGCAACTTCGTTGCGCTCGCGGCGCCTCTTGATTATTGTTTTATTACGCGAAATGAAAGCGAACGCTGACGGCTCTGACAGCATCGGGCTCACACTGCGCGGCGGAATTATTAAAAAGCTGCAACCAGACGGACGCGAGGTAAATGTTGCCGCGCGCCGAGAGTCGGAAGGGAAAAAATGCGCCGACGAGCAGCCAGAGTGCGACTTGCGTCGTCGCTCCGTTCTTTCGGCCCGCAGTAAAGCGGCGTGTTACTTCCGGGAACGCGCGAGAGGAGAGAGCGAATATTTTTATGAGAAGCAAGATTTGTAGTGATATAATAAAAGGGAATAAAAGAGGATATTACACGTTGCAGTTGGTGCACGATTCGCCGCGTTCATTCCGAAGCCTGGCGAATATTCCCGTGGATATACTCGCCATATTTTTCCTTTTCCTCTTTTTCTCTCCGCGAATATCCGGCACGCGTTCACGCGCGAGCCTAGATCAGTGTTACGACGAAAAATGGCCGCGAAATGCCGGCCGGCGCGACGCGGCGCAGCGAATTAAAACAAAAACAGGCGCGCGCATAAAACCACGTTTGTTGTGCGTCCCCGGCCGATGTAAAATAAAATGAAACCAAACGTTGAAATTCATATCGTCATGCGGAAACGCCCGGCGCGCCGGGCGCGTGTTTCCGCGTGATTTATCCGCCGGAGGGCAAGAACGACCCGAATTTTCCGCGTCGTCGTCGTCGTCGTCGTCGTCGTCGTTGTCGTTGTCGTCGCGGTGTGTAGCGACGCCTAAGTACATCTCCTGGGAGATGTCTCACGCGACGCTCATCTCGCGCACGAGAAGACACTAATTCATCGTACGAACGCTACTCTTTGTCTCTCAGCGGCGGTATAAATCTTCGCTCGGCCGCCGACAAATTCACGGGAATTACCGTAATGCCGCTATCATCCCGGCGATCTTTTACCCGGGATGTACGGTGAACGCGTCACATACGTGAAACGCCAGAAAAAGGGAAAGAGAACCGGCGCGAGCCGAGCGAAGCGGCAGAGTGCGCGAATTTCACGAACCTGTGCTGCTCTGTATTCCTGCATATTACTCTGATATTATTCCTGCATTATTCCTGCATCATTCTTCCGCGCCATCCCCGCGCTATACGACAGTGATTCATCGAGGAATAATCGAGCGAATGTCGAGGTGCGTCATGAGCGCCGTATAGCGGGGTGAGAATTTTCCCAACTTCCCGAGACGAAATTTGGGTCTCACATGAATGCTGCAAGGTCGAACTCGCGAAGGATCAATGGAGAATCTCAAGCTGCGCGAGAGCTCCCACCTTGACGCTGCAAATGCTTACTAACTGCCACGTTGGGTTTCAAAGAAAGAGCCGCTTCAGATTTAATAGCGAGAATTACGTAGAATATCGGGATAATCGAATACTGAATACAATTCGGAATTCAATCTTCCAAAGTTCAACACGCGCCAGGAGGGCTCTCTCTCTCTCTCTCTCTCTCTCTCTCTCTCTCTCTCTCTCTCTCTCTCTCTCTCTCTCTCTGCGCAGTGCCATACCTCGAGATTCTCTTCAGGTCCTTCAAGTTCGACGGAACTTGCGAGGTTAATGCAGCACTGAAACTCCGACTCGAGAGTTCTCGTCAAATTGGAGATTAATACGCGAACACGTTAATCGCGGATTACCAGCGTGTGGATCGCGGATTGTTCGGTGAACGAAATTAACGTGCGATTCGACTGAAAGTCCGCCTCTTCCCGAAGTTTGATCCTTAAAGGGATGAAATTACACCCCGTGCAAATTTTTATTTTTCAAAAAACGCGACCATACTGACGATACTAATTTTATAGCTATCTATTTACGCTATCAGTATATGATAACATTATGATAAAACAGATCAATTCTCGCATATGCTTTGCCATAAACAATCAACTGTAAACAAGAAAAATTAGCTTTAGCGGTGATATTTGACGGTAGCTCCTGGAGGTTAATTACAGAGTCAATTATAGAGATTAATTAGCGAATATTTCCCGATCGGACATGCGCGGACAGTCGCGCGCGATCGACTCGACCCGCATCATATCGCGTGCGGTCGAAATTACTATTTTCCCGACGGAAGGTCCGTAAGAATCGGATACCTACGAATCAGCTGTTTGCTTTATAATATTCTTCCGTTGTTCAGCGATCATTCAATAACTGTCATCAGCGACGCGACCGTTGCCGGGACACATCGAGAGGCGGAAACGTGAATTTCTACCGGGCGCGTTAATCATTCGCCCGATCGAATATACGATCCATCGGCCGGTGGCGGTTAATCGGCCCGAAAATAGCGGCCGCCCAAAAATATCCAGTCGGTTAAGTGCATTATGACGTCGGTACAGTAGATTACGGCCAATGGCCTCCTATTATTAGTCAATTTATCGCTGTTGTTTCTTCTGCAAACAGTAGAATTGTAGACGATCGATCGATCGCCTACCCACCCCTCCCTCGCCCTTCCCGCCGTCTAATCGACGGAGGAACAACGAAAAGGTCGCTCCTGTGTGTGTGTGTGTGTGTGTGTGTGTGTGTGTGTGTGTGTGTGTGTCGTTGCAACGACGGGGAGCGTAGAACGAGAGGGACGATTTTCGCGTGAGGAAACAACTGATCGGCAAAGGCGACTTGATCTGCCGCTTGAAAGAGAGAAATCCCACGGGAGAAGCACACGCGTCTTCTACTCCTCCCGCGTCCCTCCCAGCGAGGCCTTCAGCATTCGCCTTGCTTTCGCGTGTTATTTGCTGTTATTTTCAAGCAACATTCCGACGTAGTACTGGAAGGTCGTCCCGACGCGACGCACGTCGCGATTGAGAGAACAGGATCCGATCGAATTAACGAAGCGTTAATTGCTTTTCAGATTCCACCCGGAAACTCCAGGATGTTCTGGCCGAATTCTGCGGGAGCAACACGACACCGGCTGGCGTGCCGAAATATCATCCAGACGGAGTGAGTCATGAAGATCACGGTCTATAATTCAGCCGTAGCTGATGATATATGCGTGTGAGCGCACACACGCGTGTCTAAAATACCAGGGGATTCCTCACGCTCCTCCCTCGCTCTCTCTCTCTCTCTCTCTCTCTCTCTCTCTCTCTACATCCTGACTCAAGAATCGCGAGGATGAAGGGAAAGAAGAAAACTTTTCGGCACAATGTCATCGCGATTCCCCAGAGCAGACCACGGATACCTTGTTCGGCAAATGTTAGTCTGTTTTCCAGAAATACGTACGCATCGTGCGTACAAACGCGATTTTCTTGTCTCGCTCGCCGTCTCACGCAGGTGCGCCTCTCCGCAAAATGAAATTGAACGATCGACGCACCCGGAAGTGCACTCGAGCGACAAACATCTGCTTAAGGTGTGCGCAAGTCGTTTGTGCGGTTTTCTGAGGATATGACGTTCGCGTGGTAAACAATACGACGGGCGGCGAACACACACACACCCCCCCTGGTAACGATCGAATCGGAATAAATAATAAAAGTTCGATTTTAATCGCGCGCGTCAGCAGCGCCGAGTTTGTATGAAAGTTATAACGCATTCAACTGTGTATTGAGATTTTGCAAAATTGAAAAATGTTCGAACCCCCCCCCCGTCCTCCTCCAATTTTGCAAAATCTGAATATACACAGTTGCAAAGGGTATGAAATACACTACAACTTTCATATAAACCATTTTTGCGCATGCCTCGTATTTTAAAAGACGTACGCTAGAAATGACAATGATCTTTTTTTTTCGAAGGGTGGCTTCATCCCCTCAGACCGGAATTCCGCACGAGCAAAAAATAATTTTGTATTACGGATGAACTACTTTGCTTCCGCACAAAGTTTCAGAATTTTTTGAATTTCCCTATATTTTCTCGTGCGCTCGACTTGAATCGTTCGGCATTCATCATAGACATGCGAGCTCGTATTCGCGCGTTGTCGCGCGCGACGAGCCAATCCCCCGTTGCGAAAAACATCATGCGCGACTGCCCCTTTTGGTTGTCACTTCGAAAATATACCCGCTGTCCCGCACACAGAAGTGTATCGAAATTCGCGGGAGAATTCACGGGACGGTTTCCCGAAAATTCGCAACACCGAAATCTACCGAACACCGAGGCGACTTCGCGAGATATACAGTTTCACCGAAATATTCCAACTGCCTCACGCTGTACAGCCGAGCGCACTAATATCTACTCGATTCTGAGGATTTGGACATTTTCACTGCTCGGGCTTACGGCGCGCCTCCATCGAGAATGCACTTTGCGAAAGTGAGCGAAGAGTGACGATGAAGATGAGAAGAAGCGACGACTAGTTAATTCTACACATAGACGCGCGGGAGATTTCGATAAAAAATAAATCTTCCAATTGTCGTCAAGATTTCGCGGTTGAGAGGAGGGAGGAAAGAAGGAGAGAAGAAGACAATGACGACCAACACGCTGTGCTTCATGCACAATGGCGGATATAATGTTTTCTCCCCCTGACACGGAGCGCCGGTCAATGCATTAACAACCGTATGGACGTTGCAGCGGCCTGAAGCCGAGTATGTCGTCGTTTCGCGATAACGATCCTTTCGACGGACCTTACATCCAGCACGGTGTATATTCAGTCTCGCCTCATAACGGCTCCCTAATGATCGGGACAAGAGCGATTACGGTCTCGTTTCATTGAATTTTCCGCGATCGTTTCGATCGTCAACGATCAACCGACTCTTCTCTCTTCTGCTTCATGTTGCTCCGTTAAATTGCGTTCTTAGAGACACAAGGACCCACGTTGTCGTTCTCGATTAACAGAGAACGGACAATGTAGAGAGAGAGAGAGAGAGAGAGAGCGGGTGGGGAGAATGTTACCAAATATAAGAAATGCCATTGTGAAAAATTTCGAATTGATTGGCATTAGTTTTAATAATCATAGACTCCCAAGACTATAAGTGTAAATCGTCACAAAGTCCGCGAAACGGCGACGATCGGAATGGAAACTCTCGGTCGATTACCGTTTGATACGCTTATCGGGTGTAAATAATGGCGAACCGGCGCGTAAAATCGCGCGCGCTCAATCGACGGCCTCTTCCGGCTGCGCGGGAAAATCCGCGGACTGAGAGTATCATCGCGACGGTTATTTCAGCCCGCCAGGGTTCCGCGGTTTTCCGCAGCTTCCTTCTGCTTCTCCTCCTTCTCCTGCTCCTGCTCGCTGCCGGGTGCACAAACAGATCACAATGACTCTCGCAACGTAATGGAATCGCACTCGGGACTTCGGCGTCTCGCGAGTTATTTTCCCGGCGGCCGAGTTTCGCTCTCGCGACGTATCGCCGGAACAATGTAAACGGCCGCGTTTGAAAACGTAAACGCGAACATTCCCGTTACACGCGGCGGTGCATTTGAAGTCCTCCCTCCGCACCCAACCCCCCCTCTCCCCCCGGGGGATATTAACTCCGCAAGTAAAACAGATCAACAAAGCCCCGCGCACAGGCGAGGTCGGGCACTGCTCCTCCCATTTTCTTTCCTTTTTCTCTTTTTTTTCTCTTGATACACGAAACTACTCCGTGACAGCTTCGTCGTGTCTGAGAACAACGGCGAATCGATCCGCGCCTCTTCTTCTTTTTCGCGAATAACAATGGGTGAGTGAGAGTTTCGGCGCGCTCGAACGGTCGAAATCTACAGGTGAAAAGATCGCGGCGACTCCGTTTAACCTTCTGAACGCGCGTCCTGCGAACATGCGTCAAGCGTCCCGATGGCCGCTCGTCATTCATATTCTTCTTCATATTTTAGCCATATCTTAAGGTAGTGAATGAAATGAAATATCACGATCCAGTGTTGACGACTTGTCGACGAGTTCCTTTTTCCTCATCGATCGCAAAGTATCCAGCTCCTCAGCGACCTGAGGAGCAAAAGCTGAAGAACCACACACACACACACACACACTCTACTTCGCCATGCCCAAATTAATAAGGCTCGGAACGTCTCTCGCAGCAACGAAGCAGCAGCCCGGAGGAACTGCGTTCCTCCGCAATATTATTAGCATCACGGTGCGAAAAACCGGCGGCGCGGCCTCCGATAATAAGCCGTTTATCGCGTCGTAACACGAGAGCGACAGGACCACATAAAAGCGGCTTAAACGTTTATTTCCGTCTAGATTCCCGAACTTCAATAAAACGCCCGTGTGCTTGAGTTGCTGCGGCGGTAGCGAGCGGTGACTGGGGAGGGGGGGGGGGGCAGGAGGCTAGTCACGACCCGCAGTGGTCGCGGTAATTTTGTGGCGCGGCTTCAAGATGGTCCCTTTGAGCGATCTAAATTACTTTCTTCTATGTCGCCGGCGTCTTTCCGCAAATTCCGACCGCTCGCTCGTGAGCGCGACTTTCAAGTCGGCGAGTGAATTTACCGCCCCCTCGGCATCGACGGTGATATAATCCGCCGTCCTTGTTTGATATTCTCGCGCAAACGACTGGCCGAAGAATGCCGAATGGGGTGAGCGGGAGAGAGAGGAGAGGCGCGATGCGTATATACGGGGTGTTCAAAAATGATTCCAGACTCGCTCGCTCTCTCTCTCTCTCTCTCTTTCTCTCTCTCTCTCTCTCTCTCTCTCTCTCTCTCTGACAGGATGGATAATACTCATTATACTAAACTAAAAAGTGCCTAGTAAACATAAATTGAAAAATCAACCCTTTCAATGTAATAAACATTTTTCCACTTTGACAACGCAAGTTATTCCAGTGTGCTTCCACCGATCATGCACGATACGTACGCATCAGAAACGCAATTCTAAAGGGATCGATTTTTCGACGTACATTAAGCATTTTTTACTCACAACCTATTGTTGCAATGGGTACTGTGTATTCTGCAGCAATTCTGGAGCCCTGTTTTTGAACACCCGGCACATAAGTCGCGGTGATAATGAAATTCCAAGGCATACGTCAACAATTCGCGCGTATATAATTATTTCAAGGCGTCGCCGAAGCTCGCCCGAGCCTTTTGCATGGAGAAAAGCTGACTCGTTGGGTTTTATATCGGATATTTTTCCTCCCTCGCGTAAGCTCCCTCGGCGCGCTCCTTGAGCTTTCGCAAATAGGAGAAGAATGAGTCGATCCGCTCGCAGACAATGTGTGTGTGCACACGCGCGCACGTGTGTGTATGTGTGTGTACACCGTAATGATGCACCGAGCTTGAGCGCGTCGCGAAAATCCGCGAGTCATCGGCCGGAACTCGTCGACCGCGTCCTCGCGGTGTGCACGGAAATCGCATTATTCTCTCTCACTAAGAGCGCTCAAGGGCCCGTTTACTCGCCTTCCTCCCCCTCCCCCTCCCCCGAGTATACACGCGACGGTAACAGTCAAAATCCATTAACGGCGGCTAATTGTCGCGAAAAAGACTCCGCAAAGTCGGTTATTCAGTCGGCGGCACTCACTCGTCCGGCGACGAGCATCACTCGACGCCGCGTGCACGCGATTTATCGTAAATGCCACATTACTACCAAAGTATCGCCGACTTTGGTGCGCGACGAGTCAGCGCGGTACGATTCAACGAGCGTATAAATAAAACTGTCGATTAATTTCCGATAAAAGGGAGTTCCTCCTTTCTTCGCCTCCTCTCTCCGCTACCTCTTCTTCGTGTCTTTCGCGCCTTCGAACAGAGATACGTAAAGCTCTGTTGAAACTTTTTCATAGCGATGCGATTTCATAGCCATGCCTCTTGCCCGCTTTTCACAATCAATACATACGGAGTGTATAGAAAGTACCGGGACGGCGAAATATGTTGAAAACTGAGCATTTTAGAAAGAAATGTTTCAGACGGAAGTTGTATGGTTTCAAGGGGGGGGGGCATAAAACAACTATTTCATTTTGTTTACAGATGACGCCACTTTCTAGATATTCCCTTTCTAGATATCCATTATTTTTCTTAAATGTAAACCCGAACTTTTTATTATATCATCTTTTTTTACCGATTAATTTTAACAACTTTTGTCTGAAACATCTTTTTAT